AGACAGACAGACAGACAGACAGACAGACAGACAGACAGACAGACAGACAGACAGACAGACAGACAGACAGAAAGACAGACAGACAGACAGAAAGACAGACATACAACTACCTGAGAATGTCTTTGTCTGCCCAGGTCCATCCTAAGATTGCTCATTGGGGAGGCAAACTGTGCTCCACCACCCTCTTGATTCTGCAGTTTCTTCTTTGCAGTCTTCAATAAAGTGCGCAGCCTAAAACACATAAAAACAAAGAAGCTTTTAAAAATACAAAGTCAAACTCTAGCCAGATCCAAACAAATGAGTAAAAAACAATGATTAATTACTGAGAAAAATTTAAATAATTCATTAAGACACCTGAACTTTTTTCATTTTCATGGAAAGAGATTAATAAAAAAAATTAATAAATAAATAAAAAAAAGTAAATTAAACAAAATAAATACAAAACTACCCAAAATTGAGAAGAAAAATACACAGCACACACTTTAGATGAATGTAAACAGCAAATCTGATCAGATGTATATTTGGAGTTTATTAGGGCTGCAACAATGAATTGATAAAATCCATGATTAAAAGTATTGGCAACAAATTTCATTATCGATTTGTTGTGTCGCGCGATTAAGCGTCTCTCACAGCGCTGCGGAGCCCTTTTGTTCAGCTGCAGAGCATTGTCAATGCTGCTGACTGAATAAAGTAAAAAAATAAAAAAAAACTCAGCAGCGCAAGTTGAACAGAGCGAAGTGGAAGCAGAGCAGAGGCCGTTTTCAAAATAAATTAAGTAAATTTGACAAATGACCAACACAGCAAATACTGTTCGACCCAAGTCCTACAAAGTGTGGGAGCACTTGACGCTTCACAAAGATAAAAACTGCGCAACAAGCAAGATTTGAAAAAGTGACGACATGACATGGGAGAACCACGCTGATGAAACAAACATGTCAAGAGTCTTAAACTAACTTCACCGCAGTTTGGATGAAGAATCAGCAGCAGGTGAGTCTCTACAATATTCACATTGTTCTGTTTCCAAGTGAGAAAACGTAACGTCAGTCTCTCTGTACCTGAAGCTGCTGCTTGTTTGTTTGCTGATTAATGACGGTGATAGAGAATGAGTGTTACTTTTTATTTAATTTAATTGGTACAAGCAGTGTTTAAATGTGATTTATAAATAAATTTAATGCAAAGAAAATCATTTAATGATTAAGCTTCAACTTTTAATTTGCTGGCAAAGTCTGAAGACACTGCAGGTACGGCAGGATGAATTGCATTTAAACAGGAATTAAAGTAATTTATTACATCTACTCAAATGTGTGTAATTAAGTATTTTGTGTGTGTTTAAGTGACAGATTATTTGTTTATCAACACGGTGGATGCGCGCGCAGCCGAAGTGCAGAAAGAACCGGTGTCTTGTGAGAAATTCTGTTGCCCTTTATGGAGAGGATGCACAGAGGCGTCCATCTTCACAGCTCTTCTAATACATTTATTGGTATTAAAAACTATAAATGCACTCGATGTGTTGGTGGTTGACTGATATTTGTCAGAATAAAGTGAACATGACAAGTTGTATTAAAAAAATACATTTTTCGCTCGGCGATTAAAAAAAAAAAAAAAATCACACACACAAAAAAAAAAAAAAAAAAAATGAAACTGTAAGAAAACCCCCCTCACAAGACCAGGTTTATTTGTTGCTTATTTTGAGGTTTTATATTTATTTATTACCAGGAGCTGTTGATTAAAATTAAAGTTACAACCGTGACAGATTATGTGACTCGATTTACTGAGAAATGTGCAGTGAAAACAGTCAGGCCCACCTCTGTGCGTGCTATTTTTATTTAGTTTTTTATTTGATACATTTTATTACATGATGTTGAAAAGGTGAATATGTGCTGCTCATTACATCTCAAGAAGAACCATGAATACTGTTATGAAGTTCAGCTTCACAGCGTGTGGCGTCCCGTCCTGTGGAGCCAGCAGGATCCACTGGTGCAGCCAGAGATGATCACATGATGAACACAGTCCTCCACATACATGAACAGTTATTCATACAAAGTAATGTTGTAAAAGAAAGAAGCTAAAAACAATCCACTTTGACACAAATCATTTATTGTAACTTTTCCTGTTAACATTCAGTTTTAACTTCAAATCACTGTGTTTTAAAAAAAGAAATGGTTATTTTGTTGTTACTTTTTAATGACATTACTTATGTACAAACAAGAAATAAAAAGTTGTTGATGTATCCTTAACTCTTGAATACTTCAACAAGATATTGACAGTTTATTTTCTAGGGACTGCACAGTCCCAAATGTTTGTTAACGCTGCACACACAGTTACAATGTCATCTTATAGATTAGAGGTTTCAAAGTCTGAGACATAACAGGGAGACAACTTGTCAAAATGTTGGAAATGTCACATTCAGTAACATTAAATCTGAACGTATTATCTTTATTGGTGAGCCCTAAACGCAGTTTTCATGAGGATGGGCAATATGGTCCATTGTTTGTACATCTGCTGGGGGTTTCATCCCTTCATCTTTTTCTCTTGTAGCTGAGACACAGAAGAGAGCCATCATTAGGTAGAGCAGGAAAGCATTACTTTGTTAAACACAGGTTTATTACAGCCTCAGTTCAAGTCAGTAATCCTCTACTTATCGCTCCAATTTTCCATCGCGGTCTTTGCCGGACTTTGTAGAGTAGGAGAAGATGGACGGGGCAAAGTCAGGGCTGCCGATGTCTTCAGAGGCCACTCCTGTACAAATAAAGTGTATTCCAGAGACTGATGTTAATGAAAACAGCACACGGTTGGCCAGCGCTAACTAGCATAGCATGTGTTAGCATACAACTTTACAACAGTAACAACAAGTTTCTGGGTGTCATTGATGAAAAGCTGACATGGAAACCTCACATAAATAATTTAAGAACAAAAATATCTAAATAAATCTATTACAGTACTGTACAAAGTAAGGGAGTAACTCAATGATAAAGCACTGTTTATGTTGTATAATGCAACAATTGTCCCACACTTAATTTACTGTATTGAAGTCTGGGGTAAAGCATGTAAAACAAATACAAATCCTATTTTTATTTTACAGAAAAGAGCTGTAATAATCATCAGTAGAAAATATTATAGACATCCACCAAATACATTGTTTTATCAACTGAAGATATTAAAATTATATGACTTGGTTGATTATAATATTTTTCTGTTTATGTATAAGGACCACAAAAACATACTACCTTCAATTAGCCAAGTAAATTTTGTTAAAAGAGAGATTGGTTATTATCTCAAGGGGATAGATGTTTGTGAAGCGTTGGTTTCGTACCAGTTTGAAGGAGCGGCCCACTAAAATTCAGGGAACAGGACTGGTCTGAAGGATGATGTTAAAACCGCCACATCTATGTACATATTCAAGAAAATGTTAAAAGTTAGTTTTCTGAAGGAATAATGTGTATCTATACAAATTGTTGTTTGAATTGATATTGTTTTTATTTAGCTTTGTTTTGTTTTTTTGTAAATTACTTTTGTTTTGAATATATTCTGGGAATAAAGGGGCAGATATCTCAAGATTTATTCTTCTGCTGCCTTTCATTTTATTTTTTGATTGTATATATATATTTTTGTTTTCTAGTGTATAGTTATTTTGTTTTTAATGAAATGAATACATTTCTAAATAAAAATAAATAAATAAATAAACAAATGATTAGCAACTCCACTCAGCACCACTGAACTAACATATCTTAGCTTGTAAGCTAGGTGCACTCGTCTTTGAGTGATCAATTGTTCATATTTTTGTTTATAGGACACAACAACCAGTGATGCTTGTTAGCTAAGCAGTCCTTACCTGAGATGAAGTGCTCGCTGCAGATTGTTGCATTTTTAATCATCTGCTCGTTCCAATCGCTTCTTCTGATGGCTTGCAACCAAAGACGTCTCCCGTTCGCCTTGAAAAGCCGCGAGCTGATGGAATTCTGTAAAACTTGCGTGTTTTATTGTTTTTATCAAAACGGTTGGTGCAACTTACAGCACAACAAGACATGATCGCTGTTTCTTTCTGCAGTGGACATGCACAGTATACCAGGAAGTGACCCAGAAGTGACGTTGACTGATAAGCCGTCTATTGCTCTTTTAGCTACTTTTGCCTGAACCTAACACTGTAAGTGAAACAAGACATTTCTTGAGTAGCTGTAAATTATGCTATAAAACATATTTACTCTCTCATTCCAGAAAACAACAACAAACAATGACAGCTTCATGATGGACAGACATCATGGACACCACAGCAGCAGCTGTTTTCACTGAAAGCATCCTGAATATGATCGTCACTGACATGAGGCCTCTGTCGATGGTTGAAGACGAAGGCTTCACTACAATAATCCACACTTTTAATCCAGGTTACAATAATCCAAACTTTTAATCCAGGTTACACTCTTCCCTCAATGACACATTTTACAAAGTAGCTAAATGCTGTGCAGGTATAAAGATACATTTGTATATATATCTTTGTGTACATTTATTTTTTAAGCTATTTGACTAACTTTTATTTTTTATTATTCAATATTTTACTAACAGAATAGTAAAATAGCAACCTGTTTTTTTGTATGAATTGCTATGTCAGTCAAATGTTCAATTTTGGAATAACGGGGTGGAAATTAAAACATTTGCTTGTTTGTTGTGCCGATTCTTCGATTTACGGGGAAATTAATCGACTGATTAATCGACGATTGGAATGATTGTTTGTTGCAGTCCTAGAGTTTATAAAAGCACGTTTTTACAAAGTAAATAGATACAGGTGGTTCACATAAGCTTGGTCTGAGTTCAACAGGATCCTAAGTGGGTCTAAGTAGTAGAAGGAAGAGCCACAGGTCAGCAGAAGAGTTTCAGAGTCACCTGTACATTTCTTTTTGAAGCTCTGCGTTTCTCTTCATCTCTTGATCAAGACGAGCGTCAATAGACTTCTTCTGTTCTGAGATTTTCTTGGCTTTCTTCTTTTCAATTTGCATCTGTAACAGACAAAGAAACTCTTGAGATTCAAATCAAAGTTCTTCATTAGAATCAGTTGTTACTGAAGGAAACAGAAACCTGCGTGCTCAGTTCTCCTTTTTCTTTTTCCAGCTCCGCCAGGCGCAGACCTAACTTTGAGTGGCTCTTCAGCTCTTCCTCCCACAGGGCTTGAGAGTCCTGGGCTGTGTGGGACAGCATACTTTGTTTCTGGACCTGCAGAACACCCCCCCCCCCCACCCCCACCCCCCCATCCCCAACACACACCCACACACACACACAGGCCAAATTTTTAAAAAATAAACTTAAAAAGTACAGCCTATTAAAAAAAATCTGTTCTATTTCGTATAAGCTTCGCCCTTTAAGGCTGTCGCTTGGTGGGTTTATCCCGTTATGCGGAGCATTGCACTGAAAAATTTAGTCCACGCCCACCTGCTGTGTGGGCCCTACCTGGTCCGTATAAATTACGTTAAGAGCGGGAAATCGGCTCCCATTTTTTTCTTCAGCGAGCTAATAGCACTGTCAGAAGAACAAAGAAGGAAAATTGTGTAGATGACCAACCTTAGTTAAGGATGCTTGGCCCGGCAGTCGACCTCCGGTCGTCCGGTGAGTTCTCCTCCCCGAGGAGAAGCTGACGAGCAGTCTTATTTCAAGGTAAGCGCCAAAGAATATTTCTCAGTGACAGGTCACTACACGCTGGACAACGCCATCTTGTAATTTTCCTTTTATCGCCGAACCTCGGAGCGAATCGGATGGTTCCTCCGGGACAGGCGCGCTCAGCTGCAGCCCCCCGCTGCTCATTCCCTCCTGGAGAGCGTAGTGTCAGTGGAGGGGGGCTGAGTGAATGCTCACCCCATCCCACCTCGTTTTGCATCGGCGATCACACAGCTCTGGCCGACGGCACCCTCAGGGGTTGCCCGGCGTAACCCAGGAGGCGGCTAACATGAAGGGACCCCTTTTTTTACGTCCCACACTTTTCCCGCCAGTTCGGATGATCCGGCGGGAAGGTTGTTTACTGGGTTCCATTCCGGCTCACCGTCTTGATCCATATGGCCTCGTGTTCCAACAGGACGTCCTACGGGCGAGGCCACAGACGGTTCTTTCCTGGTAGATTGGGGGAGCCGGTCTCCACAGTCCGCACCCATCACCAGAGTGGAGGGGTTCACCGAGCGGGGCTACCCCTCGGTAACCCCCCTTGAGCCAAGCCTCGCGGAAGCTTTCGGAGCGAAGCTGTCCAGGTTGGAGCAGCGTCCCGTCCCTCCTGGGAAACACGACCCGACGGTGACCACGCTCTCCAATCGAGCCCATCAATGTGCTTTCAGGCAGCCACAGCAAACAACAACGTGGCGCTGCTAGCATATAGCATGTCCAAGAGGCTGGAGGCCGCAGACCTGCCTGAGGAGACCAAGAGCTCTGTCTGTAAGGCAGCCGACGCCATCCTCAATATGTGTGCCTCTTCTACGGTTTGCTTGTCCAGGATTGCAGCGTGGATGACGATGATTCAACGATCCACCTAGCTCCGTCACTCCCCCTCGCTACCGGAGAAACTGCACAAAGACCTGATGGAGGGCCCCATCACGGCGGAAGCACTGTTCAGGAGCAGCTTCAAGCCATGCTGGCAAACTCGAAGCAGTCGGAGGAGGTGTCAGAGGCTGTGCGCCACCTCATCAAGCCGCGCGGCTCATCCCGCCCCCCGGCCCGCTGGAGAGACCGTCGTGAGCAGAGGCAGAAGCAACGACATTCCACGGCCGCGGCGGCGTCTCTCGCTCAGCTCCACCACCAGCCCCGCCCGTCAGAGACCAGCCCTCTTCATCCCGGCATTCAGCAGTTCAGCGTTTCCCCAGAGATCGCCTGCAGACAGCGCTCTGGGCAAACAAATCGCAGAGCTCAAGAGGGAGAAGATTTAAAAAATGACGGTCTGCGGAGGGTGTGTGTAAAAGTGACACGAAAGTTTAAACAAATCATCATTCAATGATCAAAGTGTCTGTTTTTAGCCAGTCTGTAAGCTTGGATGAACTCACAGCGGCTGCGCACACATCCTCCACACATAACGAGCCGGTGTCCTTAAATAAAGGTTTTTAAACTCACCGTCGCTCCAAGACATGACAAGACGCTCACACGACACGATGGTAAGCGAAATAACTCGTTGTCAACCCGAGCTGCACGATCCTCACCCAAGCAGTGTCAAACGCGCACTCGTGCGATACAAACAGCCTTCATCCAAATGGCGCTGCGTTGTTGATGGTGCACACACAGCTCCCCGGCGCTCACAGGCTCACATTGGTATAAATGTGGGACTGCAGGCCGGGTCCGGTGAAGGTCCTCGTTTTCAGCAAAACAACACACGCCTCACTGAAGCAAACGTGTGCGGCCGCGACGCGGGCAGCCGTCACCCACCGCGTCTCAGCGCTCGGCAGCTCACGGCAGCACAAGCATGAGACGGCTGAACGAACCCGGTGACGAGTCTCGCCTCCAGCGAGACTGGCGTGTATCCCTCCAGCGAGAGCGACACTCGTCCCTCCAGAGAAAACGTGTGCTCCCGTGGGGCTCGCAGCCTTCACTCCAACAGCACGGCGTAGATGAAGTCACGCCCTTCGCCTCTCAACGTTCGCACAGCGAAGTCGAACGCGTAGCCCCACGGCGTCATCAACTGTCACACGCTTCGCCTCAGCACACACCGGCCCACCTGTACATGAAGGTTGGTCCGCGGTCCAAACGCAGCGCATGTGCGCGTTTAGAGCCTTTTCGAGGAAGCCTCGCCTTGGGTCACGCGGAAAACATTCCCGTGACACATGATGGCGGTTGAGGCGGCGGACTGGTGGCATCCGTACAAAACATGACGCATCACTTAAACGCACGTTCACTCCACGAACGTTACGCAGAGTGGCTAAAAACATGCTCGCCGGTCAGATGGATGGACAGGGTGTTATGCAAACGTTACAGTTTGCAACCCGACCCCCTCCGTTCGGAGGAGTTTTAGAGACGGTCCTGTCATCGCCAGACCAAATCTCATCCCTAAATGCAGAAGTCCAAGAGCTTCTGATAAAAGTAATCTCCAGGGTTCCCAACGGAGAGGAAAACACAGGGTTTTACTCACGTTACTTCCTGGTTCCCAAACGGACCGGAGGGATGAGACCGATTTTGGATCTGTCAGCTTTCAACAAGGTGATCATGGACAGACTGTTTCACATGTTGACAACCAGACAGCTGTTGGACAACATCCAGAGAAACGACTGGTTTGTTTTCCGTCAACCTAAAATATGCTTATTTTCACATACCTATCATCCCAAAACACAGAAAATTCCTGCGTTTCTCCTTTCAGGGGATGAAGTATCAGTACAACAGGCTGCCGTTCGGGTATTCCCTCGCGCCTCGTACGTTCTCAAAGTGTGTGGAGACTGCCCTGCATCCATTACACAGAGCAGGGATGAGAGTTTTGTTTTACCTGGACGACCTGCTTCTGCTGTCACGCTCCAGACAGGAAGCAGTGATGCAGGCTCAGGTGTTGACATCACACCTGTTAAATCTGGGCTTCGCCATAAATTGGAAGAAAAGCTCGATTTTCCCGGCCCAGACAATTGTTTATCTGGGAGTGGAGTTAAATTCAACCACCATGAAGGCCTGTTTATTACAAACGAGAATCGACACTTTAAAAGACCAGCTCCGCCACGTAAGACCTGGCAGAGTGGTAACAGCTGTCTCCGTCATGAAGCTGTTAGGAATGATGTCATCAGCTCACACAGTGGTCCCGCTGGGTTTTTTACATATGAGACGCCTCCAGAGGTGGTTTGTGCGTCTGCGTGTGGATCCAGTAAAACAAAAGAGACGGATGATCACTGTCCCTCCCTCCGTGAGGGCAGACCTCCGACACTGGGGAAACACCCTGGTTCTGTCGGAGGGAGCCCCCGTCAGCAGACCCACGTCACACGTGTCAGTCTTCACGGACGCGTCGCTGTCAGGCTGGGGGGGGGCATGCCTATCTCAAGCAGTAGGGGCGCTGTGGCCCCATCACACATCAGCCCACATAAATGTTTTGGAGTGTTTCACGGTGCTGAACGTGATTCAGCATTTTGCTCCCGTGCTACAGAATCAACACGTGTTGATTCACACAGACAACAAGGTGACTGCTGCGTACATAAACCAGCAGGGGGGTATGCGCTCAGCCCAGATGTTACACATTGCGCGAAAGCTTTTGTGTTGGGCTCACCAAAATCTGCTCTCCATCAGAGCAGTTTACATACCCGGTGTTCTGAACAAAGGGGCAGATGTGATGTCCAGGGGCGGCCCACGTCACAGGGACTGGACTCTCCATCCAGACCTGATGACTCAGACGTGGCAGAAATTTGGCAAAGCAGCTGTGGACCTGTTTGCGACATGAGAGAATGCTCAGTGTCAACTATGGTTTTCCCTGAGCCAGCGAGACGAACCACCGCTGGGGGTGGATGCGTTTGCCCACAGCCCATGGCCCAAAATGCTTCTGTACGCGTTTCCTCCACCTCCTCTGATTTTACGGTTCCTGAACAGAGTTCAGGAGGAGGGATTGACAGCTCTCCTGGTGGCCCCCGAGCGCGTGAACACACCATGGTTCTCAGCCCTACAACGCCTGCTGTCAGGGCGCCCATGGGAACTGCCATGGAGGAAGGATGCTCTCCTCCAGGCAGGAGGAGCGATCAGGAGTTACCCAGAAATAGGCCAGTACCTGTGGGTCTGGCCACTGAGCGGTTCCACTTAGAGAGGATGGGTCTCCCACAGGAGGTAGTACGCACAATCCAGGATTCACGTGCTGCATCTACCACAGCGCTGTACATATCAAAGTGGACAGTTTTTCAGCGCTGGTGTACAGAGAAAGGTGTAGAGGCCACCTCATGCCCATTAGGCGGCGTGCTGTCTTTTCTACAACAGCTGATGGACAGGAAGTTGGCATTTCAGCACGATTAAAACGTACGCTGCAGCCATCTCTTCCTGCCACGAAGGGTTCGGAGACAGAACAGCTTTTAATCACCCACTGATGAAGCGGTTTCTAAAAGGTGTACAGAGACGCAGGCCTGTTTCACGCCCACTTGTTCCACAGTGGGATTTAACGCTGGTCCTGCGAGCCCTGATCAAAGCTCCATTTGAGCCTCTGAATCAGGTTCCAACTAAATTCTTGTCTCTTAAAACAGCCCTGCTGCTGGCTTTAACATCCGCTAAGAGGGTGAGTGTTTTATCTGCCCTCTCTGTCACTCCGTCATGTCTTAGAATTCAGGCTGACGGGCAGCTCAGCTGATTTAAGACCAAACCCAGCCTTTATGCCAAAAACTTCACGAGCTCTTTTAAATCAAGAGCGATATCGTTGGAGGGGTTCTCCCCCCCCAACCCCCCACCCCCACCTCCACAGATCAGAAGAAGAAGCATCTTGCCATCTTCTCTGACCGGTGCGGGCGTTGACGTGTTACATAGCGCGCACAGCTGTAATGCGCCAAACTCAACATTTGTTTGTGCATTATAGAGATGCACCTGCAGGTCGCCCGTTATCCACCCAGCGCTTGTCACACTGGCTGTGTGAGGCCTTTTTCTGAAGCCTACAGAGCATCAGTTTAGAGCCTCCTGTCAACCTCAGGGCGCACTCGACCAGGGGTATCGCATCTTCGACTGCCTTGCATAATGGTATGACAATGCAGGACATTTTGCACTGTGGCCGCGTGGTCAACACCCTGCTCATTCATTCGCTCTTATCTACGTGATGTGATGGCCCGTTCCATGACACATTCTGTCCTTAGTGTTTACAGAATGAATATTGTTGTTTTTATGGAACTCTGTTTAAGCTCACATCTGTCTGCATGCATTACAGTATGAGTTGTTGTTATCAGTCACAAGTGGTGTCTGTTATTTTGGTTCTATTGTCACTAATTAGTTCATGACTATTGTTACCAATCAGTTCATTTGATTAATAATCAGTTCATTTGTTATTATTAATCTGTCTATACTGTTCAGCCATGAACGCATAGTTACACAACATGCGTCTGTGCATGGCTCACATAATTACGCAATGCGTAATTACACACATGGGGAGCTGAGTGACAAGACGTTTTTTGGGCAAGCTCCTGCTTCATACGGTGTTCAAATGGACACAGTGAGGCGAGGACCACATCTGCTTCGCCCTTAACCCACCAAGCGACAGCCTTAAAGGGCGAAGCTTATACGAAATAGAACGTTGTTTACGTACTGTAACCCCAGATTCTATGAGTATAAGCGTAGCCCTTTAAGCGTTGGGCCTCACTGGCTCCTAAATGGCTGAAGAAAAAGCTATTTTTGGGAGCCGATTTCCCGCTCTTAACGTAATTTATACGGACCGGGTAGGGCCCACATAGCAGGTGGGCGTGGACTAAATTTTTCAGTGCAATACTCCGCATAACGGGATAAACCCACCAAGCGACAGCCTTAAAGGGCTATGCTTATACTTATAGAATCTGGGGTTACAGTACGTAACCAACGTTTTTGATATTGATTTTCAAACATCATCAGAAATTTTGCATCTTAACTTGTAAATTTTTTCTCACAAACCAGACGAGACATTTTTTCCTTTTACTGTTGTATTCCGATGAGTTGCTCCTAAATTAGGAACAAGTTACGTACGGTATATTAGGTATGCAACAGGTAGGTTATGCATAAATTCGCACTTGTAAGTCATTGATAAGTTACTAAAAAGTTGAAACATCTCAGAACGCAGCTGGACAATTATGTACGTGCACATAACTTATTCCTAACCCATTAGCACGTTGACCTATGCAGAGCTTATGAGCCACATTTGTGTTATGCTGATCTTATGCACAGCATGTTGGAGCCTACTGCTATGATCACAACACAGCAGATCTGAAAAGGGCAGCTCTCTGCACTCCCCAGTCAAACAAATCTGTGATCCAGGAAGCTGCAGCAGGATTCTCCATGTTTACCTCTGCACATCGTGGATCCAGCAGGAGTGATGAGCTGCTCATCATTTGGACCCTATATGTGGCTGAACTCCACAATGCTGGCAAATGTGCTAGCTGAAAGTTACAAACATGCTGAATAAGTTCCAGGGTCGTCAGCTATATGTTGAATATGTCAATACAGTAGTCCTTGGTTTATCGCAGGGGGGACGGAACCCCTGCGATAAATAAAAAAAACACAAAGTAGGAATTGTAGTACAAGTATTAGTAGTAAGTAGTAGTTTATATACAGTACATTAAGTTGTTTTAAATCCTTCCTACGCTCTTGCAATATTCTAAACAATGTTTCTAAACTCTAAGCGCTCTAAAAGAGCACAGCATGTCATGATCTCAGCTCTCTGCCTCCTGCCGCTCTCTGTCACGCCCAATTCTCCTCTGCAATCGCTGGCAGAGAGCGGAGATCATGACACACTGGGAGCTGCACCTGTGGGCTGCACACAGATGCAGCAGGTGCTAAGTCATTAAAAATAATTAGTTTGAAATAAACAGTCCATGCTGCTCGTGCGGCTCAATTAGCCGATTGTGTGTCATGTCCAATCTTACTTTGCAAAACTGCGAAAGAGCGAGTCCGCAAAAGTCGAACGTAAAGTAGCGAGGGACTACCGTTTATGATAATGCCCCTCTGCATCCAAAGACTAAGAGCCCAAGCTAAGTGTGCATTTTAAGAGCCTTTATTAATGAGAGGGAAAAAACAGAGAACATGAGCCGAGCTGTTGTCAGTTTTAACCCTCTGATGCTCACTCACTCTCCTCCACAGCTCTGCACTGCCCCCGTCTCTCCCACTCTCACATTCATTGTATAAGTTATGCATAAACTAGAGACAAGTTAAGGATAAGTTATTCACAGGTTATATATTTGTTTAACTTGTTAGCAGTACAGTATATATACTGCACATCCTAAAAAGGCTTCCAGTTGATTTTTTTGTAGTCATCAGTATATGCCTGCATGTTTGACAAAATGTACATTCAGTAGATCAACATACGTTCTCTAAAACGTTATAGTGACAGGGCCTAAAGATAAACACAATCTGAAAATGTTATCGATAAGAAACAACACAGCACTAACCTCTCTATTGAGTTGCTCTTCCAAAATCATCTTACTGCTCTGCAGATTTGTTACCAACTCCTCCATATGACCACGAACCTGAAAAAAACAAGATGCATGTTTTTTTCTTGCATTGCCTGAGTGAAATATTTCCACTGACATACCAAAGGATATGGCATGCATTGAGCAGCCATGGAGTCAAGAAATAAAAGGAAGACCCCACAAACAACAGAAAAGGAGAGTAAAGATGTTTCCATCACCAAAAGGAACCCAAATCAGCAAAAATTCCACCATTTGTTTGAATTCCTGGTCTAACAGCTGGTGCTACAAGTCCCAATAGAATCACTTCATCAAGAGCATCTTTTTTTCTTCAAATATTTAATAGACATATTAAAAAAGAATAACCCCACACAGGAGAAACTAAATCTAATCCACAATACTAACCCCTCCTCCAGGTGAGCAGTCAGTCAGCTGAAAAAAAGATTGCACGCCTTAACATTGAAAAATTCTCCAAATAATGCATTAAATAATTCAAAAGAACTGTAATACAAAAATATAACAAAACAAAACAACTGGATTCCTGTTCTGTAGTTGAAAATGCTTCTTTGTAAATTCAAAACTGGAGTATTTATAACTTGTATGTTTTACATGCAGAATAAACTGCGTGCCTCTCAACATGGACAGTCTAATAGCTAACAACTAGGCCAACAAGCCTCCACTGTGTGACGTCTAGTGTAACTAAATGAGTTGCATAAAGTTTAGACGTTTGGAACTTCCCACTCTCCAAGTCTGAATTGAGAAAGCTCCTGGATGTGAGCTCCAAGCTGCATCTTCATGAACAGAACAGAAGTCCACTTGTTTTTTTTAGTACTTTTTGAATTTACCTTGTCATGGAATACTGAGTAATATGACATTATCTTTTTAGTTGTAAATATGTAGATGCACTGAGACCCTGTGTGAGCAAGAACATGAGTTTTTTTTAGAACTCACCGTCACAGCTTCCTGAGCTTTTTTCTGCAAAGCATCGATTTTGTTGGAGTGTTGCTTTGCAGCAGCTTCTAGTCTGGCATTCTCAATCTCCAACCTAGTGTACAATCACACTCTGCATCAGTCACACACACAGTCAAAATATATATTTACACATATAAATGAGCCCTATGCAAATGAAAGTGAGTTCATACAGATGTTTGTATGAGACATACCTGGAGAATGTTTATGGATCTCACTGGAGGACATTGACTGATTAGTGACATCTATAAGCTTTGTTGACCGCTCTCGTCTCTGATTGCAGAATGTCTATGTAAATATGTGCTTGGTTGTGCGAGTTGTTTTTTTAATATTAAAGGTTTTTTTTCTCAGGCAAGAAAAAAAAAAGTCTGATAGGAATTTTTTTCGCCTCCAACTCCTACAGGTCCTTCTCAAAAAATTAGCATATTGTGATAAAGGTCATTATTTTCCATAATGTAATGATAAAAATGAAACTTTCATATATTTCAGATTCATTGCACACCAACTGAAATATTTCAGGTCTTTAATTGTTTTAATACTGATGATCACGGCATACAGCTCATGAAAACCCAAAATGCCTGTCCCAAAAAATTAGCATAATTCATCTCACCAATGAAAGACAAGTGTTCTTAATACAAAAAACGCCACCCTTCAAATAATCATGTTCAGTTATGCACTCAATACTTGGTCGGGAATCCTTTTGCATGAATGACTGCTTCAATGCGGCGTGGCATGGAGGCAATCAGCCTGTGGCACTGCTGAGGTGTTATGGAGGCCCAGGATGCTTCGATAGTGGCCTTAAGCTCATCCAGAGTGTTGGGTCTTGCGTCTCTCAACTTTCTCTTCACAATATCCCACAGGTTCTCTATGGGGTTCAGGTCAGGAGAGTTGGCAGGCCAATTGAGCACTGTAATACCATGGTCAGTAAACCATTTACCAGTGGTTTTGGCACTGTGAGCAGGTGCCAGGTCGTGCTGAAAAATGAAATCTTTATCTCCATAAAGCTTTTCAGCAGATGGAAGCATGAAGTGCTCCAAAATCTCCTGATAGCTAGCTGCATTGACCCTGCCCTTGATAAAACACAGTGGACCAACACCAGCAGCTGACATGGCACCCCAGACCATCACTGACTGTGGGTGCTTCACACTGGACTTCTGGCATTTTGGCATTTCCTTCTCCCCAGTCTTCCTCCAGACTCTGGCACCTTGATTTCCGAATGACATGCAAAATTTGCTTTCATCCGAAAAAAGTACTTTGGACCACTGAGCAACAGTCCAGTGCTGCTTCTCTGTAGCCCAGGTCAGGAGCATCTGCCGCTGTTTCTGGTTCAAAAGTGGCTTGACCTGGGGAATGCGGCACCTGTAGCCCATTTCCTGCACACGCCTGTGCACGGTGGCTCTGGATGTTTCTGCTCCAGACTCAGTCCACTGCTTCCGCAGGTCCCCCAAGGTCTGGAATCAGCCCTTCTCCACAATCTTCCTCAGGGTCCGGTCACCTCTTCTCGTTGTGCAGCGTTTTCTGCCACACTTTTCCCTTCCCACAGACTTCCCACTGAGGTGCCTTGATACAGCACTCTGGGAACAGCCTATTCGTTCAGCAATTTCTTTCTGTGTCCTACCCTCTTGCTTGAGGGTGTCAATGATGGCCTTCTGGACAGCAGTCAGGTCGGCAGTCTTACCCATGATTGTGGTTTTGAGTAATGAACAAGGCTGGGAGTTTTTAAAAGCCTCAGGAATCTTTTGCAGGTGTTTAGAGTTACGTTGTTGATTCAGATGGTTAGGTTAATAGCTTGTTTAGAGAACCTTTTCATGATATGCTAATTTTTTGGGACAGGCATTTTGGGTTTTCATGAGCTGTATGCCATAATCATCAGTATTAAAACAATTAAAGACCTGAAATATTTCAGTTGGTGTGCAATGAATCTGAAATATATGAAAGTTTCATTTTTATCATTACATTATGGAAAATAATGACCTTTATCACAATATGCTAACTTTTTGAGAAGGACCCGTACATGTGTCTAGTTAACCACTGTTGTTTTTGTCTGTGCGAACAGGTCTCACTTGTTAATGAGTCTTCGAGGTTCAATGTGATTTATCTGTTTAAATAAAGGTTGAATGAATGAAAGTTCAAACCTAAACTTTACAATCCCTAATGGCACATTCCCACATTATAAAATGCGTGTGTATGTGTGGGGGGGCATGGGGTGTAATCATTTAACATAGCATTATATTATTAATAAGATATTAATGACTTTTATTATGCCATTTTATAAACTAAAAGTACTAAAGAAGTTTAAAGTTTAAACTTAGTACGATTACGAATAGTTGTTAATTTACTTACATTATTATTTCAATATTTGTTTTGCACACATGGTTTAATCATGGTGCTGCTAATAATCTGAGCAGAGCTTTTAAGTTTGCGTGTCAGTCTTCGGCCTTCACAGTCATGGTTTTGACTCTAAACCAGGTGAACTAATCACCCTGGCTACAGACACAGGTGCACAGGCCTCACACTCACAAAACTAAAACAACCAGGACTGCTAGCTTTGTCAGTGCAGGAACAGATGAGAGGAATGAGTTCTTGTCTCAACCACACAATCTGGGTTCAAATCTCACATCAGTCAGCTCAAACATTGAACAAGATGGAAAACTGACGTGATTCAGAAACATTCTATTAGGGCTGCAACAACGAATCGATAAAATCGATAAAAATCGATGATTAAAAGCGTTGGCAACGAATTTCGTTATCGATTCGTTGTGTCGCGCGATTATGCGTTTTTCACGGCGCTGCGGAGCCGTTTCGTTTTGTTCACGGGCAGTTCATTGTCAATGCTGACTGACTGAATAAAGTTTGAAAAAAAAAAAACTGCAGCTCGAGTTGAACAGAGCGAGGGGGGAGCAGAGGCTGTTTTCAAAGGAAATTAAGTAAATTTTACAAATGACCAACGCAGCGAAAACTGTTCGACCCAAGTCCTCCAAAGTGTGGGAGAACTTCACAAAGATAAAAAATGAGAAGCATGCAGCTTTAAAAATCACCGACACGACACGGGAGAACCACGGAGATGAAACGTAAACATGTCGGAGTCACGAGCTGCAGCTGATACAACTCGTCTCACTCCCAACTCGTGTTGCAGGTGAGTCTCACACGTTGTTCTGTTTCAAGAGAGAAAACGTAACGTCAGTCTCTCTGGTAGATGAAGCTGTTTGTTTGTTTGTTTTCTGATTAATGACGGTGATAGAGAATGTGTGTTACTTTTTATTTAATTTAATTGGTACAAGCAGTGTTTAAATGTGATTTATAAATAAATCTAACACAAAGATAATAATTTAACGATTAAGCTTCAACTTTTAATTTGCTGGCAAAGTCTGAAGACACTGCAGGTATGGCAGGATGAATTGCATTTAAACAGGAATTAAAGTAATTTATTACATCTACTCAAATGTGTGTAATTAAGTATTTTATGTGTGTGTGTGTGTGTGTGTAATTGCTCTTTTAGCTACTTTTGCCTGAACCTAACACTGTAAGTGAAACAAGGCATTTCTTGAGTTGCTGTAATAATTATGCTATAAAACATATTTACTCTCTCATTCCAGAAAACAACAACAACAACATCCTTCATGATGGACAGACATCATGGACACCACAGCAGCAGCTGTCTTCACTGAAACATCCTGAACATGATCGTCACTGACATGAGGCCTCTGTCGATGGTTGAAGACGAAGGCTTCACTACAATAATCCACACTTTTAATCCAGGTTACAATAATCCACACTTTTAATCCAGGTTACAGTAATCCACACTTTTAATCCAGGTTACACTCTTCCCTCAAGGACACATTTTACAAAGTAGCTACATATTGTGCAGGTATAAAGACACATTTGTATATATTTTTGTGTACATTTATTTTTTAAGCTATTTGACTAACTTTTATTTTTTTATTATTCAATATTTTACTAACACAATAGTCAAATAGCAACCTGTTTTTGTGTGAATTGCTATGTCAGTCAAATGTTCAATTTTGGAATAAAAGGGTGGAAATTAAAACGTTGGTTGTTTTTTTTTGCCGATTCATTGATTAATCGAAAAAATAATCGTCCGATGAATCGATTATTGAAATAATCGTTAGTTGCAGCCCTACATTCTATATCTTAAAATATTAAAATGGACGGTGGTGGGCATGGTTCTGCTAATAACAGATCTAACTTTCCATGTAGCAGATTACCGTTTTTACTAACTTTGAAAACTTGTAGTGGAAGTAGCTCCTGCTAAATTGAAATCTGGAAAATTCAAGCCTGCTGTTTTTCAAAGACAATCTCCACTCTAAGATCATACAGAACAGAGCAATGATTTACATAGATGCTAAGCTACGCAGAGCTAATGTCACCGCTCTCACACTGCCTTTCCTCCTCATATCTACCATAAACAGTCTCTGGAGTGAGAGTGATGGTGCAAAGGTTAGAGAAGGTGGGCCTGTTGATCGGTGGTTCAACTCCCCGGACCGACAACATCAAAATGTGGGTGTGATAGGTGAAGCACCCACACCTGCCTCCACCATCATTTGCTCCACTCTGGGCACTTGAGCAAGCCCCCTAACCCCCACCATCTGCTCCTCCAGGTGCCCTAGACAGCAGCTCTCTACTCCACACAGAGGCTGTGGTAGCTCGGTGGTCTGTGATTGCACCAGGAAGTACATCCGACGTAAAAATAACTGCCAAGTCTTCGTACCCCCTAAAGAAGAGAGAAGCCGAAAGAACAAAGAACAAATATCTTCCACAACAGTCTCTGACTCGTGGTGTCAGTTTACAGCCAACAACAGGGACTTGAAAATATGGTAAATGGACTGTACTTCTATAGCACTTTTCTATCTGATCAAGATACTCAAAGCTCTTTACACTACAATCTGTGCCTCATTTACCCATTCATACAGCTCTATACTAGATCTCTACAAAGATAAATTGAACTAATCATTCTAAAGAAACTAATCAGAGCTTTATCACATTCATACACTGATGGGACACACATCAGAGGCAATGAGGGGTTCAGTGTCTTGCCCAAGGACACTTTGACATGTG